ACAGGGAATGGCAATGCTTGCATATCTTTAAACTCAGAGCACCAGAAATGCTTCGCACTTTCGTAGTTACAATGTAGTATGTACTTGATGAACGGTGCGAAAGGCCGCTGAACTGCATTCGTATGTTTATACGCATCTTCGACGGCGCCAAGAATCAGACCATACGACCATCCATCGAATATAGCATGGTGCATCGTGAGACAAAATGTCCGAGATAACTTCCCTGCCGTGTCATTCGTGATTGCCATATCAACGAGCGGTACACCATAAGACATTAAAGACCCAGGCGATGTATGTACGCCGTTGATCAAGTCCCACTGTAATTGTTCTCCGGGGCGAAGGACTACTTGCAGAGCCCCGGTATGGCAAAAAACAATGCGAGTTCGCAAAATTGGATTTGCAGCAATTACTATTCTCCATGCTTCCTTCAGGCGAAGCATATCTAGTTGGTGCGGGAGTTGAAAGCGAAATTGGGCCTGGAATGCCCCCGGCCTTTTTGAGGTGTACGCCATTAACGCTTCCTGCAAAGGTGTACACGGGTAGATATCCTCAATCTGTTCTGGGAAAACGGAGCATTGCTCAGTTGCTTGAGCAATATACGTACCTTTGCCTAGTGGATCAAGCAATGAAAACGGTGGAATAGGTGAACCAATGCCATTTGACATCTGGTGAGTGCATTCTGCCAATTTAGAAATAGTCTGCCGTTTAAACAACGATTCTACCGTTATATGCAGGCCCTGGTCTCGGGCGTCTCCGACAAGTCTGATAGCACTGACCGAGTCGCCGCCCAGATGGAAGAAACTGTCATTCGGCTTAATTTTCTCCTCTGGAATGCGAAGTGCGGCGGAAAAGAGGAGTCTGAGTTGATCTAGGACGGGAGTACTCGGCAATTGAATCATATCATTGTGCGTTATTGGATAGTACGCTCTGAAATCTTTCTCCGATGCCTGTTCGACAGCTTCCCGTAGAAGCTTCCTATTGACCTTCCCCGTGCGTGAGATAGGCATAGCTAGTAGTTCGATGTATGCTGCAGGTATCATATGCCTTGGAAGCACCTCTTGTAAGAGAGTATTTGTTCCTTGGGCCTTTTCCTGAAACAGAATGCTTGGTGGACGTAGAAGCATGGTGCAATCCATATTAACGGAGTATTCGTACTTTCGAGCAATGAAGAGAATCAGGATAGGCTTACGTCCTGCTGGAGCAGCGACTTCAGCGGCAATCACAGCATCGCGGAAGTAGGGCTGTGCCTGATGTTCAATTTCGCCGAGCTCCACTCTCTGTCCGTTCAACTTGACTTGGGTATCCTTCCGTCCAATATAAGCAATTGTTCCATCGGCATTGTATCTGACTAGGTCACCAGTCTTGTAGAACCGGTAACTGCCGTTAAGGTGGAATAACGACGCCCACTCTGGGTTTGTGATGAAAGCATTTGCTGTCAGACAAGGTTGTTTCAAGTACCCTCGTCCTACGATCGGGCCGCCTATAATTAGCTCTCCGATACACCCAACTGGCATGAGTCGGTGGTGGTTGTCTTTTGATACAATCCAGCAAGTGCCACACGGCGAGCGCCCAATGTTCCCCAGCTCTTGAACGCATGACTGCACGGTGGACACGACAGTGCACTCTGCTGGCCCGTACGCGCATACTAGTCGAAGCTTGTCCTTCCATAGAGAGATATCATTAGGCAGCATAGGCTCTCCGCCCATCACAAGCGTTTTGACCGTTGGAATATCCGCCGGGCACCAGAGTCTAGCCACCGTTGGCGTTAGCTCCACCCAGTTAACCCTTAGGGTACTAACAGCCTCCTTCAAGCTATTGACACGTTGTGCTTCGGATGGAATACAAACACATCCACCAAGCAGTAATGGGGTCAATGATTCATGGACACTGACATCAAATGCATAAGACGCGAACTGCAAAACTCTGGACGATCGATCAAGGTTCTGGGCCTGGCTACTCGCAATCGCGTTGGTACAAAATGAACCATGCTCTATGACAATGCCTTTCGGCGCACCTGTAGACCCTGATGTATACACCACGTATGCTGCATCATGTGAAGCTGTGTTAACTGCTTGTATCGCAGAATATGTCGCTGTCTCGGTATTATGGTCACCGATTGAAAGTGTGCTGCCCGAGACGCCTATTGAGAGCTCTTGCGAACAAACTATTACTTTCGCATCAACATCTTTACATATATTCACCAGCCGTTTGGTCGGATATGATTGATCCAACATGCAAAAGGCAGCACCTGCTTTGAGCACCCCGAGCATGGCAACGATGGCCCACTTAGACTTCTTGAAAATAATCGGTACGACCGATCCGGGACCAAGATCGTACTGCTGTAGTAGACCTTGTACAGTTGAAGACAATCTATCAAGCTGGCGATATGTTATAGTTCCATCCCAGGCGCAAATTGCCTGCGCGTCTGGTTGTAAAATGCATTGCAGGCGAAAGAGAGTGTGAATGCAGCTATCAAACGGGTGAATTGGCGCATTTCTGTTCCATTCAGCTATTTGATCCTGATGGTGCTTGCTTAACAGACACGAGTCGGCAAATGGTCGACCTGGACTGTGTATCACGCAATGTATTATCTGCTCTAGTGTACTAATAATATTATTGGCATGAGCATTGTGCAGAGCAGAAGGGACATATTGCAGCGACAGCTTCAGCAAAGGGGAGAGAAGATCGACAAGCAGTATAATGTCACCGAGCTGAATGTCTCTTTTTTGATTAGCTTATATGATAACGACCGACCATGATAGGCGTCACCTTTTCGATGCTTTGCAGTGACTTGAACTGGGAGGCTTCTGGCGAGGCATTGGTGCTAAGCACGATACAAGTGTTGAATAACTCATGTCGGGCAGAATCCTCCAGGAGCCATCGTCGTGTGTGTCTGAGAGTCACGCCATCAGAAATTGGCAACTGCGGCTCTATCGCCGCTTCCCACTGCTGTACACTAGAGATATCGCTGCCTTCGCACGGGAAAACCCCAAATGAAACGTTATTGGAGTCTGTATACTCCGCAAGTAGGATAGACCAGGCAACAAGTAAGGTTTGATAGAGAGAGGTTGTATCCTGTTCAACTTTGACCTCGGGGGAAAATTCGGTTTGTTCAAATGCGACACAGCCGTTGTCTCTATTCACAGTTGCGCAAGTAGCCAATCGTGGGAATATACATCGGTATGAAGGATTTCTCTTGCTTTCACTTTCTGAGCTCAGCATCTTTATGATTGTATGATATATCTTCAGCTCTGTATGTAAGCAAATACAGTAGCGAGGAGATGAGGTGTCACCTCTACATTGAATGGGCCAAACGAACGGAATGTTTTGGCCTCATCAAAGCGGTTGAGGAACCATGGCTGGATAGGATCGATATTTTGATATTGAAGGGTCAGCCAAAGAGTTATAATGGTGGATATACTCCTCCGCGTCCATAGGACAGGGCATTCTACATATCATTTAATTTCTTCACTCAACTTCCCCTGTGCCCAAATAACATGCATTAGTACGAAGGTATGTCGATGCTAAGAGATTAAACACACTGACCTTGTACAAATATGCGCAAAAATAGCACATTAGGAGTTACACATCATTCGGTTCGTACCTGCTCTTGATAAATGCCGCTTGATCCTGAAACCGTTCTGCCCAGGACCTTGGCATGCACTAGGCTATCCAGCAGCCTGCTACCATTCTTAATCAAGAATGGCCTATCGCCATTGGACTATAAAAAGCAGACGCCATGATATATATCCTTGGGCAAGAGATATCTTTCACTTTGAAATGTTTGAAGAGCGACGGTCGTCACTGAGACCAGCAGGCATGATTCCTTTTCGTCTTAGTATGTTGGAGAGTGTCGAGCGAGTCTCTAATCCACTAGAGCTGGCCTTATTCTAGTTGCTCGCCAAGCGTGTCCCCCAGCATAACGTAACGGTTATGATGTGTTACCAGCTTGTAGACTTTAGGCCTGATGTAGGGTGCTATTCTTATATCGTTTCAGCGGATATTTGTATGATATTGCCAGTATGCAGCAGCCCGCGGCCAATAAGCCAGAGCAAAGATGGCTATCAATACCCGTAGATAACAGCGAGCATCTCACAGCCAGGAGCGTCTAATCCGCGGCATCGTACACTCTATCTGAATCGAAAACAATAATTGGTGACAGTCCCTGACTACGGACATAGAATCATCGGCCGTGTGGTAACCCCACTCATATGCTTTCCGCTTCTCGTGTAATAACTAGGCGTACTACTTGTCCCTGTGATCTGCGGATTACCTTTCCATGGCTCCATAGTAAGTCTGGGGATGAAAAGAACCGGAGTATCTTTTTTTAAACGTCGCACTGCGCAATGAAGAAGTATGGAAATTTGCATCTAGAATGTCTGACACACGGTCACCTATATTTCGAGCAATCAGGATTATCAAATACCCCTTGCATACCTGAGTCTGCTCTACACTCTCTGGGCACTCATGTAAGCCCTTTGTCACTGTGTGATGTGTCAATATACACAGTGTCTTCCAATTATACCTGACAGGGAACCCAACCTGACGCAAGCTTGCACCAGGCGTGCGTCATTCACTGTGGGAGCACAACAAATATGTTCACCTGTGGTACACCATAGAATGAATTTCTAATCTCAATATATTATGCAGATACCAAAACAGGTTAATGAGGGCGCACTACGCAATGGCCGATCACTTGAAAATATCACAATTGCGCGTCCGTTTTAGGGTACACCTCCTCTAGTGCTTCCTAAATGTTGGCTAACAGTGACTTCGTGGTCCCACCCTCCGCAGTCTCTAAGTTAAACTACATTCAATCAGGACTTGACTGCTTCCTTTTTCGTAGACAGTAACCCAGCCATCTTGGCACGAGTCGTATAGCTTCCGCAAGCTCATTGATCGAGGTCGCCCACCCACCTATTCCCAGCTTGACTCCACTTGTGGCGTGTCTCATATTACTTTCACTCCCATCTTTATAATTCTCTCGTCCTTCACTATCTATGACTACCTACACGCTTTTAGACCGTGCCGATGCGCCACAGGCATCGAGTGATGATGATGAACCAGAACCATGCTACCTTCTAAGCAAATATCTCACTTTCCCAAGCTTTGACCAGCATCAATGGTGGCATAATACGGCACCAATGCTAGGGAAGCTTCTCTCACAATGCAAATACAGTGTGCATGAGCAGTATCAATACTTGTGTCTCTACGGCCTACACATCGTACCGTTTCTGGGGCCATGGCCGGATATCGAGCGTCGTAAGCTCTACAAGAGTGTTTTCAGCGGTTTAGGTCCGCTGGAGTTCAGTCAGAACTTTACAAAGATTGGCAGGACGGTTCGAATCGGCTTTGAACCGACATCATTCAATGCCAGTACTGGTCACGATATATGTAACCGACATGCTCTTGGCGAGGCCTTGAACCGCTTCAAGCATCTGGGTCTTAAACTAGACTTGCAGTTATATCACCAGCTAATAAGCCAGGTCTCATTGACGGATGAAGAAGAATATACACTTCACGCCCGAGGAATACTGGATGATGAGCCGGCCAAATCACAGAGCCTTCTGGCACTAGACTTCAACAACAGTGACGTGACGATCAAGCTATATTTCTATCCGCAACTGAAATCCTTAACCACCGGCATCTCTCGTGCGCGGTTAATGTTCAGTGCAGTGCGCAACGTGGATAAATGTGGTGCTTTGAGGCAGTCCATGGACATGATCGAGGAATACTTCGCCTCAGTCCCGGGTACCACGACCCCGTACTGGGTATCGTGCGACCTCACCGAACCTCGCAAAACTCGATTCAAATTCTATTTTGCGCAATTCCAAGTGAGTATTGAGAATGCCGTAAGTCTTTGGACACTTGACGGTCGGATCACAGATCCCGAGACGATGGCAGGGCTTGCTATGCTCCGCGAACTATGGCATTCCTTCGATATCAGGGATGGCCTCCGTGAACAGAAGAACCGACCTGGAAACCCAGGCGATCCAGGCAACGTTGTTCCCATGCTGTTCAACTTGGAGACCTTCCCTGACAAGGCCTATCCGCAGCCCAAGATATATTTTCCGACGACTGGAATGAACGATCTGGCTGTCGCAAAGGCCATGGTCGAATTCTTTAGAGGACATGGGCTTCATGAACATGCAGAATCATACATTGACGATTTGGCCTCATATGTGTAAGTCTGTCTTTTGCCTTGAATGCTACTAGTGTTTGGAGATAAGCTGATGATTTGAATACCAGCCCACATATGGACCTCAATGATTGCACCGATCTCCAAGCATGGGTATCCTTTTCCTACTCTGATGCTAATGGACCCTATGTTACTGTTTATTATCACTAGTATTGTACCATAGACAACCCAAATAAAGATAAACATCATAAATATTACTATCGGGCTTACGATACATCGGTGTCTACTCAACCAAAACCACATTCTGCAAATAGGTATACAGGTAACCTGTTAGCATTTGAATTTATTGTACACTGATGATTCCTCGTTAAGGCTAAGCATTACGATCTCCTTTAGGCTAACCACTAAAAAGGCCATCAAGCTTCTACCAGGATTACTAGCGCTTACTTAGTTCAGTTACATTCGATCATCGACGCGAAGTGCTTATATATTCAGCGGTATTATTCCGCATTTGCTGACATAGGTACTATATAAATGAGGTTGGGGACATAATTCCAAATAATGCCCCAACAGTGTATTTTGTCAGCATGTGAGTCACAAGGAATCAACTCAAATAGACCAGCAATCCAGGTATGACAGTATATAGATAGGAGTGATGACACCAACATTGCCAAGGGCCTGGGTCAAGCATACTGTAATACGTTCACACAAAGCCTCAAGACACAACAATCTGCATGTCCATAATGGAGTCCATCTTCTTAAAGCTCTCTGCCGATGTAACGCTCCACGCGCGCATCTCTCGACCTACCATTGTCAACCAAAAACCACTTCTGGTTTTCCTCCATTACTGGGGTGGATCTTCTTCGACGTGGTACAAGCTCACCTCGCCGGGTTCACAGACCTCCTTAAGTACTACCTATCCGACCCTTGCGGTAGACCTTCGGGGCTGGGGCAAGTCGGCGGGTCCGTCTGAGGAAACCGGAACAGCATATTCGATTACGGCAATGGCTTCCGACGTTGCCCTCGCATTAGAGCAGCTGAAACAAGACGCTAGTACGGAGGAACTTTTCAACCACGGGTTTATACTCGTTGGTCACTCTATGGGAGCGAAAGTAGCTCTGGCCACGCTATCTACCCTACATGAGAATCTACTTCGAGAATTGAGAGGCTTGGTTTTAGTAGCCCCAGCGCCGCCGACAGCACTCAGCCTGCCACTGGAGATGAAAGAGCAACAAAGGGTTGCCTACGAGACGAGGGAATCCGTAAGATGGACGGTAGAGAATGTACTCGCAAACGTTAAAAACTTAAGTGAAGACGACATTGAGTTGGTCATTCATGACAGCTTGAGTGCGAATACATTTGCCAAAGAGGCTTGGCCTACGTACGGGATGGCAGAGGATGTTTCTGAAAGTGTGAGGAGGTCTTTGGCCTACATTAGCCATGCTGGTATTCGGGCGAGTGTACTTGTTGGGGAATTGGATATTGTTGAACCAAGAGAGCGAGTTGAGGCTGGGATTTGCCGGTTTCTTGAGGAGAATGGTGTCAAAACGTCGCTGAGGGTTATTGAGAATGTGAGGCATTTGATTCCATTGGAGTGCCCAGAGATGGTCTACAAGCAGATTTCTTTATATTGATCGAGCATTTTGGGCTGGTTCTATCGGGACCCTTGTTGTCCGTACATGGAGACTAGGAGAAACTAATTTGATATGTCCACAACATACGCATAGCCATGGCTCACTCCATTATAAAGACGCAATATTTAGTCATTGTCATTTAGTATCACGTTGTACCTCATTGCAACTCCATTGAGGATACTTAGTGCAACTGTAACCAAATTCTCGGCCGCGCAAGCATAAATGAAGGGTATCTTCCTCCCGGCAAGTGATTGGAATTTCGGTGTGGAAATATGTCGTACATGCGGGTTCACAACATTCAATAATAACGTCAGCATCCATAAGCAGGAGGAAGTTCTGCCGCTACACCTCTTATCACACCCCAACTGTTCGACTTGCTATCCAGTAACCATGCCCAAGGTACAGATTCTTGTTCGTGTGACCGGAGTTTCTCAGCGGGTGTAATGGTGTGTGTGGAAGGGGACTAAAACGGGAGCCTGTTCCATATGTGCAAGGCTTTCTTCAGGCCTAGGTTGTAGGTAGATCTTCTTACTGTCCGTTCACTGAATCGAGAACGTCCATTTACTTGATTGAGTCTTTACAGCGGTGACGAAGGTTCATCCCGTAGGACTCACAAAAGTTAATAATCCACACGGATGGTTTCACCCGTTGTAGAGTTAGTCCGGCACTGTGAGACATGGAGTGTTAGCCAACACAAACAGGAATAGATTTTGTCCTGCTTTACCGAGGGCTGTGGAGGGCTAGGGAGCGTCAGCCTAGTAACGGCAAACGACGAGATGACCGGCAAGTCCGAACGAGGCAAACATCTAGGATAGTAAATTTGACGTGGATGGTATTGCTAATGGCATGAGAGACACATGTGCTTCACAATATATCTTGTGATAAGCGGTCCTAACTTGTCACAGACAAGGCATGGAGATATGGGCAGGCGGAGATATAGGACCTTTTTCAAGGATGATAGTAAAGATGGCATATCGCAACGTTCAGCATTTATTTCGATCAGAGCAACACTTACATTGGTAGTGTTGCAAGTATATCAATTTGATTGCACTGACAGATAGTAATGCTATGCTAGGCAGATCTGCTAAATTTAAAGGATCTCAGTGTCCTATAACAACCGTCTTTCCTTGTATCCTCAATCTCTCCTGGATAATATCCTTGCGCTCTTTGCGCAAATTCCGAGCATACCTCACCCCAAACCCATGCTTAAACACCTCCTTAATCTCTTCCAACGACAGACCAGAGACTTCCGGGTAGAAGAAATATATCCAAATATACCCAACCCCGCAGATGCCCGCGTAGAAGCCAAATGCCCCAGACGGAGTCATGGCCTTCATCATAGACAAAAACGTGCTGGATACGATGACATTGCTTCCCCAGCTAGAGCAGGTGATCCACATAGTGCCCATCGCACGGACTTCCAGTGGGAAGAAATCTGTGCTCATCCAGGCCGTGTTGCCGACCGAGACACCATAGAAGATCACGAACCAGATGATGAAGACCAGGACGACAATTGCTGGAGGGGATACACTGCTGGTCTCCAAGCTAAGGGTATCTAGATCGACCGGAATAAAGCAGAATGCTACCGCGATTGCAATTAGACCAACGGACATACCCCAGGCGGTGGATAAGAGTAGTCGACGACGACCCATTTTGTCGATCACCATCATGTTGACCCAGGTCATGATGAAGTTGGTGCCAGCCACGACGATCCCTACTGCGGTGGGATTATCGAAGCCTACCAGGGCAAATAATGTCGATGAGTAGTACATAAGTGTGTTGAAACCCGATAGTTGCGAGATGACCATCAAGCCACACGCGCTGACCAACGCCCGGAGGTTGCTGGTTACGGTATGAAGCTGCTTTATCTTGGTCCACCGCGTCGCGCCCTCGTTGATCTCCCGAGCTTCATCACAGGCGGCGGTGATTGAGGCTAAAACCGAAGCCAGCTGAACATCAGATGGATGCCCGTAGATTCTACGAAGCACGGCCTGAGCTTCCTCTTGACGATGGTTGTATACCAGGTGGCGTGGGGACTCGGGGCAGAAAGGCATCAGAGATGCCAGGATTAGGGCCGGCAATGCCCCAAGCCCCACCATGTACCGCCAGCCATGATTGACATTGGCAAAGGCAGCTCCAATAGCATAGGAGATTACCTGGCCACCTGTGATTGACATGTTATTTAGGCCGATAAGCCGTCCCCGGGCCTTCGCAGGTGCTACTTCGGCGATATACAAAGGCACCACCATGGCAGCTGAACCCACACCGAAGCCAACCACAACCCGACCCACAGCCATCTGAACAATTGTGTATGCGGCCCCTTGAAGAATAGCTCCGATCGTGAACAATGCGCAACCGAAATAGATAGCTGCTTTTCGTCCTAACTGTTTTCATGAGGTAAACAGTTAGCTAACGATTCCGAACAATCGGTAGCATATACATACCTTGTCTGCTGTCAGCCCGGCTACAATGGCTCCGAAGAAGGCGCCTCCCGAGCAGAGCGACGTGATCAATTCTTTCTCGTTACTGGTGAGCGTGCGGTGGTCTAACCCATCATGGATGTAGACGAGAACAGCACTGATGATGCCAGTATCGTAACCGAACAACATTCCTGCGATCGAAGCGGTAAAGGCGACCAGCCATACGAACATAGTAACTGGGAGGTCATCAATACCAGTTTCCGTGACTAGAGTGCCACGGGCCACTTCGATGTGCGCATTTTCCGGTAGATTATCTCCTTTGAGACCATCCATTGTGGTCGTTGGCGGTTGAGGTTTTGTATCCTCAGCTGGAGCCATAGTGAGTTGCTATAGCATAGGGCAACTGAACCAAAGAAGGCGAGTGGTTATGTTTTCAGTTTGTAGGCAATTGCAATACTAGGACAATAATTGTATCTACTTGACGGACATCGCCCTTTTATAAGCCTAACCATAACGTAGTCGAGCATGCATCTCTGTTGGTATAGATCCAGAAGAGGCCATACCAACGCAATATTGGCAGGAGTCTGATTGGCTGGGACACTCGGCAGACTTCCCGAGGCCATGAAAATGCGGGGAAAAGATACGATTCTCTGTGGATCCTCGATTAACAAGACTGATTGGCCTTTTCCCCCGGCGCCAAGTTGCCGAATATCCTCCCATAAGGCAGTTTTGCTCCGATGACCGTGTCCTGTCTCTCTCATCATTCGACTACAGGTACTCTTCAACCATTCGAATTTCCCTCCGGAGCGAAAGAGGCAATTCCGTGTTCTGTTCTATATCCTGTTCCTCCCCTAGCCAATAGAAGAATGACCTCGCCCGAGCCCCTACTGGTGCCGTCAGTCTCCCCACGGGGTCGGCCAGCGCCACTTCAAACCCCATGTATCAATTGCCGATCCAAGCATCTTCGATGTAAGTACGTACTTGGTCTGCAAGGCAGAAGGCTAGGCCCAAGCTAATTCTTCTAGGTACGTATGAAACCGACCAATGTGAGCCCTGTAAACGACACAGCTGGACATGCGTCCGCCGCAACCCTCGCAAGAATCCGATTCAATTTCGTCCGGGTAGCCGTGCAAAGTATGACCAAGCCTTTGCTCCGGATCAGGTCTGGGTAAAGCTGGGCCGTAGATCGGGTAAGTTTTGTTGGCCAAGCCGCACGAAGAAACATGATTAGAATCTGATAGGTCATTAGTCCGGCTGAGATTTATCGACGAGACCGTAGACGTCATCTCGGGCTACAACTCGGCGAGTGATTCTGAAAACGAGGGGATTGACGGCGAGGAGGTGCCCTTTCGGACTGGGGCCACTGTAGGAACTCAATCAGAGGCTGCGCAATCTCTTGCTCTGGGTGCAAACAACTCCACCAAGAATGCTGCTCACGGTGGGACCCAAAGGCAGACAACAACTGTGCCGGCAATGGCTACACTTGGAGGCTCTGATACGGCCACGGTACATCGAGGTGCAGACATAGAACCTCCTACAAGCCAGGGACGGATGCACAGACCCGTCGTCTTTGTTGGAGATACTGATATCCGCCTTCAAGCTATTCTCCTACGATATTTCGCCGAGGTCATTGGCCCTCGCTTTGATTTATGTGATAACGAGCGACACTTCAGCCGTCTGGTGCCGCAACGGGCCCGTTCCTCTCCCACCCTGTTGAATGCCATTCTCACTACCTCAGCCCGCCATTTGACTCGCCTACAAAGGTATCGCAATTCTGCCGGCATCGTGGAGTGGCAGGGCCATCTATTACCAAGTTTGAGCGAGGAATCTGCCGTCTACTATCACAATGAATGCATTAAAGACCTACTACGGCTCAGCATGGATCCAGAACAGATTCACAACGAAGCTCTTCTGGCAGCAGCAATCATCCTTCGCACCGACGAAGAAATGGACGCCCCGCTCCACGAAGGCGAGGAGGACACTGAAGTTTTCCTAGGCATGTTGAACATGTTTATTAACGCCCAGGTACCACTAGTGGCAACATTACCGCACAGCTCCCCTCCCGTCTATCCATCCCAGGAAGACCTCTATGGCCCAGGAATCCAGTTGGTCCATGCACCACAACCAGATTCGCCCTCCCACCCGCTATCCTCCCCAGCCCCACAGACTAATATCTTATGGCCGTATGCCATTCCTCATGTCCCTAGACCGGACGGCCTTCGCCAAGCCGCCTTTTGGGTCGCCCTGCGTCAGGAACTATTTACCTCGTTCATGAAACAACGCCCTCTCAACTTTCCCATGAGCCACTGCGATGCGTTCCGCAATCTATCACCCGCCGAGGATGTCATCTGGGCAGATAGGCTAGTCATCTTCTGCGCTGACCTCCTCGAATACTGCTACGGAAGTAGCTATCTCCACAACGCGGACCAAACCTCACGCCACCGCCATGATCCCTCCCGCTGGCACGAACTGCGGAACTACGAACGTGATTTGACACTAGCCCTGCCAAAGTCCTTTGAACCCATGTGCTACCGAGAGCCTGATACGAGCTCCGGACAGGTCTTTCCAGAGATCTGGCATCTGGAAAGCTGTCACGTCACGGGGACCACACACCTGGAATTAGCTCGCATCCTGCTAGTCGCGTTCGATCAAAGTCGGCCTAACTTAGGACCGGGCTCGGTCTCGAGCCAAAGGAAGCTCGCCAGCACGCTGAAGGATATCGTGCGCCGGCTTTGTGGGATCGCCATGTGTAACCGTCAGTCGCCACCGGCTTTCATCGAAGCCCTAATGGGTATCACGCTGTGCGGGGAGTATTTTACTGAGCGTGGGGAACAGCAAGCCCTTCTCGGCGTTTTGAGAACCATGCGTCAGGAACATGCTTTTCCGACGGGGAAGGTAGAGAAGATGTTGCTGGATGCGTGGGGATGGGATTAGCTGAATTCCTGATATGTATTCTTTTCTTTTTCGGATTATCACATCGAATGTAAATGACAAAATATAGAATGCTTGTGTATCCACTGTTCCAGTATCCGTGCAGAGTGTACCCAATCGTGCTATTCTTGTATCATTTCACACGGGCCTCTAGCTTTCGCTGTGGCCGGGCAGACCTAGTTGTCTCCTGCAGCACTTTCTCACTTCTCGTCTCCTACCATAGCCCTAAGCAACAGGACGTATGTGGTCCATCATACCAATGCCACACTTCCGATATCCTAGTTTTGGAAAACACTTGACACGAATTTAGCAGTCCGAATAAGTATCAAAAGCGCGCATCACTTGTATTGCATAAAGTCGTCTATTTTAAACTCTATCAAACATGATATCTATTTCCAGAATAGATAGTCCCTCAAAATTAATCCAAACCCCCACATCTTAGATTCTGTTGCCCTGCTCATCAAACTCAATCTTCTTACCCGAAATCAGACTCTCCTGCAGAGCAGCTCCGATCCGGACCGCAGCGACGGCGCCCTCCAGCTGCACAGGCAACTCCGTGTTATCGAGACAGGCAGCAGTGAACTCATTCGCCTCGGTGATGAAAGCCTCCCGGAAGCGTCCGTAGTAGTGTGGGGGGATCTCGCGCCGGATACCAGTCGACTCGTAGATGTTGACCAGGTTGGAGATGGGCTGGGTGTTGACGGCCAGCTTACCCTGAGTACCAATGATCTCGGTGCCTGCGTGTGCTCCTGTTAGCGTCGTTGCGCTTTCTGTATCGCGAGATAGAACGAAAACTTACTGTCTTCCTGTCCAGCAGCCATCATCCGGCTACAGTACAGCTGTGCGATCTTACCACCGTAGAACTCGACAATACCGAGCGCATTGTCACGATCGTTGTACTTTCTCAGCTCTGGGGAGACGGCAGTGATACCGACAGCAGTGACGGATTTCACAACGGAGTCCTGGCCGTAGAACCACAGCGCAAGATCAATGTCGTGGATGGAGCAGTCGACAAAGATACCACCTGAGAACTGGGCATATTCGACGAAGAATCCTGAGGGGTCGAGCTTGTCGCAGGTCTGAGAGCGGAACACGCTGGGAGTGCCGATCAGGCCAGCGTTCATCTTCTTGAAGGCGTCGCGGTAGGAGGCGTCGAAGCGGCGGGAGAAACCGCACATGACTTTTTGGTTGGGGAACTGCTGGATGGATTCTCTGTAGGCGTCGACGACGGATTGGGACTATTGTATCGTTTGTGTTAGTTTTGTTCGTCTTTCTCTTGTTTCTTCCAAGGGTGGAGGAGGGATTGGGGGAAGACATACCTCGTCCACATTGATGCTCAAGGGCTTTTCGCATAAAACGTGCAATCCACGACGGATGGCCTTGATGGCCTGCTCGGCGTGTACGCTGGTGGCTGAGGCGATCACAACAGCTTGCAGACCGTTGGCCTGCTCCTTCTCCAGCATCTCATCGTAGTCCAGGTAAGTGCGGGCGCCACCCAGATTGTCCTGGGCCCAGTCCAGCTCATGTTGCACTGGGGAAGAAGCCGCGACGACCTCAGCGCGGGGAGTCAGGGCATAGAAGTGGTGTGCATGACGAGCACCCATGCGGCCGAGGCCAGCGATGGCGACTTTGAGGGTAGCAGGGGCCATTGTGTCTGTATGATTGGGATGGGGAATGGATTGATGATTCTCGATCTGTTGGAGGGCTCCAGGGCCCCTTTATGTTGCCTCGACCTCCGTTGGAGGCGGGGTATATAACCCTTGATGGTGGGGATATTCATTGCCCATAATTGCTGTTTGGCAGAGTTCCAGCTCTCAATGGTGTTTGGTCTGGGGAGCTTGTTGCATGCGCAAGTCGGGTAGTTTTGCGGCGAGCTTTTCTCCGCACTTCGTCTCCGTAGCTGCTTTGTAGGGTTGATTTGGCAGGTGGTCGGCGATAACCTTCTCTTTTGATTTTCCAGGGGAATTAATTTCCGGCGCCACCGACGGGCCAGCCCTAAAAGGCCATTTACCCCGCGGGTTATGAGATCATGCTTGACAAGATGCGACAACAAATCCCCCTCGCCATGCGAGGATTCGCATCGGATAAAGGAATAAGAAGTCGAAAGCGGGTCGCATTGGGCGTGTGAATCGCAGTAGACCAAATTTAAGCACAATTGTTCTCGTTTGAGGTGATTGCGCCCGACATGTTTCAGCCCTTAGAAATTGTCGCAAGTTTCAATCGCAGTGTGTCATTATTCTTGACTACAAATTGTATACACCCAGAAACAACGCCAGATTCAAACCTCTTTCGAATGCGACTGTGTCTTCGCAATCTTTGCCATGATCTCTTCCCTCCAGGCCCAACTCAAGGCCATCGCACCAGAACCCAGAATCGCAGTCGTTTGCGCGAATCGCCCAATCACCTTCCACCACGAAACGAGGCGCTCGAAATCTTTCAATTCACTGGATTTCATCCCCAGCCAAACAAGTCCGCTTGTCATCGCGATTGTTGCGTCGTACTTGAGGAATATCGCAACACTGTCGGCAAAATTCGTCACAGGAAGTTGGTATTCCTGCAAAAACAGACTGGTCCTAGAGACCCCTCCGGAAGCGAACACCGAGTGTGAACGAAGGTCGAGCCATAGACCAGAGCGAGCGATAGATCTATGTGGCTAATGTGGTGCAGACTTTTGGTGGATTATCGTTTCGCTTCATCCTCCTGTTGTGGTCGCCGTTGGGTGGGCAGGGATGCGCATGCCTCGACAAGGCGGAAGGGAGCCTGCACCAGGGGCACGGTGATGGGGGATAAATGCCAGATGGCGTTGAAGTATTGACGCATGGCAAACGTCTTCGGGAAGAAATTGCCAAAATTGGGTCCGTAGCACCCTGCAATGAGTGTGGAGAGGAACCACCCGAGCGCATCTGTTTGAATCGGCAGCCGAGGAGATTAGCGACCGGTGTGCGCAAATCTTCGATCATACAGGCCAAAGGGAGCAACCCGACTCTTCAGAATGGAAGTACCGTGCCTAGCAGCACGAAACTGTGTTATCGCGTCATGTCAGCATATCCTGTATTTTCCGTAGGAGATAACATTGCTGACACAGACACAGCCTTCACGTACAGCATCACTTCAGCCCAGGTATGAGTCTTGCGGTAGCGCTCCAGGAGCCAAATCACGCACACTATCCCCAAGTCGGTCAGTAAAGATCTCATTTGCCAATATGATGCGGGCTGAGAGTTGCCAAGTGATGGCAAGAAGAAGGCGATGAATGACCCGATCAGTTTGACCAGGACGGACACATTGTGTATATGTTCTGCGACTCTCAACATTTCCCCGTTCCTTGCAGTCCATGATCCTTTCTGGAGAATCGGAAGGGCTATGGGAAACCCCTTCTCAAAGAGTCCCATCGCGATAATAGCATAGGCGATTAGCCCGACAAGTGGTACACATGTCAGTGCAAGCTTCACTATCCTGATGAGGGCGGTTTCAGTCTGGCCAGACGGTCGGACGTGTGGCATGGTGCCTTGTATCGCCCTCGCAGGGACCGGGAGGAAATCGAGAATCTCGCCCTCGACGAACATCTGAGACGATCGGTATGTAAGGTAGCGGGACAAATAAGGTAGCAGATATTGCGAAATTATGGTATGCATAATAGTTGCGCCCGATTCGAATCGAGTCGCCTCGTTTGCCAGTGTCAGGATCTCTTTAGCCCGGGGTTGCCGGGCCTTTTTCCATTCTTGCAGAGCATCATTGATGCTCTGGAGGGCAATCGGACCATGTCCTCCAGAAAGTTTAACCAAACAGGATAGGCAATTTGCCAATGATGCAGCAGTTTCAATTGCACTATTGCCGCCTTGGCCGATATTCGGAGTCATCTGCAGTAGGTCGGTCAGGGTAGCCCGAGCTCTTGGGACAATTGACGACATACCTTGTGAATCGAATCTCCAATGCAAACGCATCGATCCATACTCCAATACTGGTAAAGGGCCTCCTCCAAGCAGAGGTACGCCTTGACCTCAACCTTCTCATAGACCTTCGAGAAGGGAACAGTTGGTGTGATGGGTATATGCAGATACTTGGCTACATGCTCCCCCAGGTCTTGCTCGTTAAACCTGGGCACGTCCGATCCAGTGAATGGCCGGTCCATCTTAGCAAAAAGAAACCAATAGATACGACCTCCTTTTCCGCCGATGGTGAGGGTAGAGTAACCCTTGGCAAAGGTCCGGTGAGCTTCTCCAGGATTCACCCCAACGGTCGGATTCGAGATGCCAAATAGGCATGAGTATTCGGCTTTCATATCTAAATCATGCCACTCAAGTAAGCACGGGAACAGGGTAGATCTGCTGTACAGGTCACCAGACATACTAGCTTTTTCTGTAGCGACGTCCTTGGTCAACCCGAGAGACTCCATATACCTCCACATCTCCTCTCTAACAATACTCCTTACGCCATCCGCACCTACAACCAGATCTCCTTCGAAAGTCGACCCATCTTTGCAGTGCACAACAGCTTTATTTGGCAGATTCTCCACTCGGACGACCTTTTTGTTTATGTGGACTCGGCATTGGTGTTCTCCCAAGCGGGAGTAGAGAATACGCAATACTATCTGCCGGTCCAAAAACGCGATTGGGTAACCGTGTCTAATTGTAAATTGACGGTCAGAGCTATTCAATCTTGCAGCACCACAATTCTTGGTGTTTCATACCTGTCCTCGAAGATTTGAAGTGGCTCTGTCGTAAGATGCTTGGCCGTGCCAGACCAGTAGTGCATTGTTTTCGCGACGACGGTCTCTTCCAACACATCGTCAAATATACCAAGTTGATCCAAAATTCGGGCCCCGTTTGCGAGGATGCCGATTGAAGCTCCGACTTGCGGCGCAATGTGATCATTGGCTTCCAGAACGACAAAATCAATTCCGCATCGCTGCAAACTATGGGCGAGGGTGAGGCCAGCGATGGAGCCTCCGACGATGATCACACGAAAGTTCTTCACGTTTGCCATGTTTGTCCACGTCCTACCAGGTGAACTCAAGGTGCAGATGGCGGGCAGATCAAGGTCTTCTGGACCACAGGCTGATGCTGACAGTTTATACAGTCGCTTCTACGTCGCTGTGTAACAGGAGATCTCACGTGTCATCTTACAGGCTACAACTTTGAAGGATATCCTTTCTTTTTCCAGTCCATTGGAGAACCAAATATTCTAGGTTCCATGAAGGCTGGTCCAAAAAGACCACTCACCACGACCAATTACCACAGTGTATACTGTCAATCGCGGAATCAACATACTCCATCTGCGCAATCGCAGATCGTAAGATCCTCAATCACTTGGCATATTTCTCTTGGTTCCATTCTCAGATGTACTGGAATTCAAGCCTGCGTATACATGTGTATTTGACATGGGTTCTTTGGATGTTTTACTGATAGTTGCTTTTGGAATTATGTGATTGAGAGCGTATGATGTTGGCAAATATAAGAAGATCTCGATCATCGATCATAGCACAGTACGGACCGGTCAGATCCGAAAATATTCCGTTTCGGGTCCAGTATGATCAGCATGTTCCACGTTCTGTCTTGAAATTATGGTATGGAGGCCTCGTGGCTGGTTGAAGTTGATGTATATACTGCATTTTATCTAGTGCCCATCCCAGGTCTCAGCCAACTGTGTGGAGCGAGGATCACTTCTCACAATCCTGAAATACTTCCTTCGTATAGAATTATACGAAGTGAAAGTGATCCAGTATCTTCAAGGCAAAACAGGAGAAATCGATGGCAAAGGATAGCTGAATCAACGAAATTAAACAATATTGGCCACTCCGAAGACTTGGCCGTGCGCCGGGGCGGGGCGGAATCAGCGCGGGTTTGCTCTCCAGGCCAGTGACTACAAGTCAGCCCACCACATGATAAGGCGGTCTGGCCAGGCATAATGGACAGGTTGGGCTTCGTGCAATGCACCCTACAATATTGGTGATCTCACTTCGAACGTTCTCCATTTTCTTTTTATGTAGATTAATCTAAACAGCGAGTGAAATACTTCTATAGTATTGAAAGAGTATCACTTTCATCGAATAACCTTCTTTGATTTTCCTTTCTTACGAGTCTTTCTTACTTCTATCCCGCCTGTGAACCACAAGAAGAGACATATATTTTCGTTGATAGGCTTGCGGGATACGCTGGCTGCTAAGGGCTCCCACACCACGCTTGTTGTTTACGCCAAAATGGCTGAGCAATCAGGCATATAAATCATTAAGATATTCCTCTATTTTATACGGATCCAGGATACCACTTGTGAGGCTAATAGTAAGGTACCATATGGTATGCAAAAGCATGGATGATTCCATCCACGTGTCTGGCAGAAAACTGAGGCGGTGGAGGAGATGACGAACGCAGGTACGTACTCCACTCCGTAAATGGTATGGGTGGTCTCTGTCACGTGGACCCCCCCAACGGCACAGGAACCCGTCGTCTTTTCGTCAAACCTTAATACCATTTCCAACCTCTCGACGGATATTAATTCCACGGTGTTTGTCGGTTTGGCTGTGAGACATTGATGAATACCAGAGATCAAGTAATGGTCCCCACGGCTCTCGCCTGGAGTGAATGCGATGTTCCCTGAATTTGGCGATTCTTGATCAACTCAATGCCTCTGGGGGTTCTTGTCCATTTCGGCGGCAGTAGCGGAACCACCCCACAGCTACGCAGTAGGGCACGAAGCTAAGAGGAGGTGCCCTTGAATCCCGCCAACGACAGATCTACTGCGGAAGCCGGAAGGTTGCCGTATGCGATGTGGGGGAAATATGGATCTAAAGCAGCGAGGTCGGTGACAGGGTCAGGATGGCGTCCAAGGACGCTACGCCCGACTTACCTGCTTTTCCTGGCATCGGTCATGGTCGTAATGCTGCTGGCTGTTGAGCTGCTTCGACAGTACAGTGATATCAAAGGTGGTCTTGTATTTTACGACGACACAGACGATGTACCAGACCATGTGACGTTTGCGTACAATTATATTCCAACAATCCTGGGCTTGTCGTTGATGACCCTCTGGTCTTTCACGGTCTACGATGTCTTCCGTTTAGAGCCCTACTTTCAGCTATCCAAAGAGCAGATATTTCCTGCCGACGTGCTTTCCGCTAATTATATCTTTGGGCCTTTCATATCAGCGCCTTACTCTTCGGCGAGGAGAAAGCATTGGGTGGTGTTTGGGGTGTCTATCATAAATATTCTCGTACAGCTACTGCTGCCCTCTACGCTGAGCGCTTTGCTGGACCTGGATAGCGTCCCAATGTCTTCTCCCGCGACGTTGAGAAGTTGGCCGGAACTGGTGGCGGTTGGAGAGCAAGCCGAATGGATATCTTCGCAACGGAACATGAGTCTATATTCTCTGACAAGGGGAGATCTTGGAGAGACACCGTCGCGTCTCTCACACTTTGCCATCCCACCAGTAGAACTCCCCTCCGATGATACACTCGCCACGGCTCGATGGAAAGTTAATCATACCGTGTACTGGGCCGACCTTACATGCTCCGATTTGCCCGTCAGCAACTCACCCACGGCGAATGTCACTGTGAGCATCGGGGAAACCACTGCCGATCATTCTAATTACTCTACCCTAACCTGTGCGCTTCATGACGTGCGTCTGGCGTCACTTCCTGACCCTTCCCAGGACTGCACTTTAAATGCGAACTACAGTGGTATCTTCGACCTGACAGCTACTCCGATACAAGCCCGACGCTGGGAGCTTGACACGATCCCGTGTGCCCCACAAGATGTATACGGCTTTCTCCTCGACATCGAGGCAACAGATTCCGGTCGCTTAGTCGGACAGAGAGAAAGCCCCTCGGCACCAGTTGTAGTGACACCCAAGGCTCAGTTCTTCTCATGTGACATGCAGTATTATACGGCGAAGGCGGAGGTTTCCATGCAGGCCAATGGTTCGGTAGTCGCAATTATTGTCGATAAGGACTCTATATCTGCTCTTGATAGTTCGGATTTGGATATAGCTGGATTTAAAACATTTCTCAAAAGCGGCATCTGCCCTACGGGAAATGTTTGCCCCTCTGGCAATGGAACGTTGACAAACCATTCTCTTGGTCAATGTGACCTAGGCATAGGAGGGTATATGCCCCTGTGCTCTACATCTGTGCAGTACTCGCAGGTTCCCATCTCCGGGGACAAATTCATGTCCAAAATCCGTACGGATATGAAGCTCGGTTTTGCGCGTTTGCTGAGCCGCCTCTTCAATACAAATGCAGCGTATACTCCTGTTCAAGGCGTCGGCACAACTGACCAAGTGGCTGTCCTGGTCATTACCTCCCCTGCAATTGCGTCCGAGATAATCCTTCTCCTTGGGGCAGTCACGTGTGTCTTCCTTGCTGTTTTCTACCGGTCGCGCGAGAACATACTCAAGAGTGACCCCGGCTCGATCGCGGCTATGTGCAGCATCGTGGCAGACATATTCAACCCAGCTGGTGTTCAGGCGATTGCCAAGTACACTGACCAATCCACCGCGCGACAACTGAATCGCAAGCTGCGTGCCTGGCAATGCTACTGGTATCCAGAGCCATCAGGTCGAAAACTGGGGTTCCTTCCCGGAGAAGCCCCGCCCAGAACACTCCGTGAGAAAGTTCTATCAAACAAACCAGCGAGTAGGAAAGCACCACGCCCAGATCCCAGCCTTCATTTCTTATCGAAACCCATATTTGTCGCTGAGCTTCTAGGCTTGTTAGCGGTTATCTGTTTCATGGCAGTATTGTTCGTTCTGTGTTCAACAGATCGCCGCCTCCGACGCCTCTCAGATAGTGCATCAGATCGACTCTCTATTGCTTTGAACATCATACCGTCTCTTATCGCGTCGATCTTGCGAGCTTTGTTCAATTCGATCTACTTGCATCTGGGCATACTAGAGCCGTGGATTCATCTCCAAAAAGGCGGGGTAGACGCGAGAAATTCCCTGCTGCTCAATCTGTCCTCCCAAAGTCCAATTACCGTGTTTTTCCGGTCTATGCGCTCCCGCTCCTTCGTGCTCAGCCTGGTCTCACTGTGCTGCATCATCAACACCGGCCTTCCAGCCGTTCTGGGCGCGCTATTTACCCAAAGCCGCACGACAGCAGCCTGGCCTACGCAGGCTGTGGAATTACGCTACGACCGTTCTACTATTCTCAATTCCAGTACCATCCCTACCCTCTTCCAATACGGTCCTATTGAATCAACCCTGTTAAATTCGATTTCGTTGCTTCCGTGGACATCGCCGGATTATTCATTTGTTCCATTCGCAGTTCGTACGAATAAGATGGATAATACATACCAAGCTGTGACGCTGGGTATTGGGGCTGATTTGAACTGTCATCTTGTTCCGTTTACTCATGCTCTCTCGAACGATGAGTACGATGAGGATTCGAGTATCCCCAACCTTACCACTAGAGATACTGAGAATGGGGAGCGTGTGCCATCTATCATTCGTGACAACGCAAGCGAACCATATTCAGTCCAGCTACTAGCACCGAGTGGAGCGACTGATAATGGCACGCTGACTGTTCTTCTAACCCTTCACTCGAGCTCTAGCCCAGACTTCTATTCGAAACTCGCTTTGCAATGCCATTCTATTCCAAGAATACAAAATTTTACAATTGGATTTGATCCCAGTGGGATACTACAGTATTATTATCCAATCGACAGCGCATTCACGAGCGGGCAACTAGTAGACAATGTGACATCGAACGTGGCAAACTACCACCAACACTTTCTCGCTTCAATCCAGAACACCTCTGGAAAGGGCGCCGTTGATGAGCCCAAGTTATTCCCGTCCGACTGGCCCGGTTCCCTGATCAAGATGCTGTACGAAAATGGGAACTCCCAACTGACAATTATCGACCCGGACCGTCTCGCTGATGCAACACAACAAGTCTACCAATGGCTTTTCGCAGCATATTTCAGCCTTCAGAAAGACATGTACCTCAAACCCCTACCCGAACCGATAATGGACAACAATGCCCAAATTATGCGACCCACATGGGCCATAGCCCGGTCCCTTTCATCATTCATCGTCGCCCTGATCATGGTATCGTCCATGGTCATTGCCCTCGTCCTCGTGTTCATCACGCGATACGGCAAGTTCAAGGGGCCCCGAGTCCCGCGGTCACTTGGCTCTGTGCTTGTCTGGCTTACCGACAGCCCCATCCTCCCTAGTTTCTACGGTACCCATGACTGGACCACTGCTGCTCGTCGGGATTACCTGATCGGGCTCGATAAAAGGTATATTTTCCGGATGGTCACCACACCAACCGGAGAACAGAAATGGGTTATCGAAGAGGATCGGGCTGAAAAGGCTGGGTGACCGCATGTCTATATGACCTGATGTAGGGCTTGTAAATAGTGTATAAAGATATCATGAAACTGTACGTCATTGACGGTAATATAATATTCTAATCATGAAGCCCTATCAAATGATCTATCTTTTGCTGGATGATATCGTAGTACATGTTGTCCACACGATAATTTACAAGGATGAACCATGTTACAGGAGCATCATGCGATGTGACTTGGATAGACTGACTCTATCCACCGGTTCGTGTCACACACGACCTCCACGCAGTCCAGATCCAAATTTCCTGCTTTTGATGCTGTACTCAGCGATTCAACACGTCTTGTCTCTACAAGCAGAGGACGGTCTCATGTGGCACGTAAAATCGAATCTAGATTCGGGTATAGCCAATTACCGCATATCAAACATCAACACTGAATTTGGTCAAACCACCGAAAGCCACGACACCATCCCAACTGTCCAACCCTCACCCTCCAAACATCTTCCCCACAACAGAATCCGTATACTGCCACAACAAAGCCGAATAATCCGAAGCAAGAGTCAACCCCGTCCAAAACGTGCTCCTCTGACCCTGCAACCCATAAACCTTCCTGTAAAACCCATCCTGTACGTCCTCCACCCCCACCATCATCGACGTCGGAACATGGCTCCCAAACACCGCCATCTCCCAATCCTCCTGGATAGCAAACGTCCCCGCCGTCGCCATGCGGTGTAAATCCCCCATAATGAGTTCCCGGGCCTGCGAGTCCGTGAAGTTCATATCCCCGACGATCTTACTCGCGAGATAGTTATTGGGACCCATATCCTGGAGCGCCCATTGGAAGGGGGCGCGCGGCAGATTCCCCGGTTTCTCGTCCGGGTCGACATTCTGGACGTTGATGTCGTTGGGGATTCCCGTGTTCTTGAGGACAGCAACGTAGTATGTTTTCCAGAAGAGCTTGGCGAAGAGTGATGTTTCTTCTGGGACGAGGTCGAGGCTTTTCAGATTCTCGGGAGTCGGGGGGATGGTGACGAGGAGCTTTTTCGCTTCGATGAGTGTTTTCTTTCCCGACGTGTCTTGCGTGAGTATCTTGATTCCAGTGTCTGAGCGTCTGGTGTGAGTGGCTTTGCTGTTGTAGAGAACATCGCTGTCGAGTACCTCGCCGGCCTTGCGGTAGAGTTCATACATCCCGTTGTTCGGCGTGATGTATCCCCCCTGCAGGAAGATGTCTATATGTGCGATGCCGAATGCTTGGATGACATATAGCGTCGGGGTGGCGAGCATATCGCCCAACGCATTGGCGAAGGTGTATATGACGCTTAGCGCCCCTTCGAACTTGTATTTCTCGACGAACTGGCTAAACGGCCAGAGGAGCTCTTCCGGCACGGGGTCGGGAAGGTTGTAGACGCCATCCTTGAGGTAGTCGAATTTCTGGATTGCAGACCGGTAGACAAGGAGGGCGGCGACGGTGTCGAGAATGCCAGCTGGAGGAGGGACCTCGTGTCCGGTTTTGAAGTTGACGTATTTGTTAACGAGGGAGCCTGGGGTCAGCGGTTTCGATTGCACGCCGAGGCGATTGAAGAAATTCCTCGAGATATTGGTGTTGAAGACGCCTTGAACGCCGTAATCGACATGGCCACCGTTCTCTACGTAGAGGGTTTCGGCATGCCCGCCGAGCCGTGAGTTGCGTTCGACGACCACTACACTTTTGTTCATGTCTTTTAGGCGGATCGCTGCGTAGGCGCCTGTTGCGCCGCCGCCGAGGATGCATACATCGCGCGTTACTATATTGTCGGCAGTGAACTCTTCTTCTGAAGGGGATTGGGCTTGTACGAGGGAGATTAGGAGAAGTATGGCGTGTAGGAGGCGCCAGGGGGCGCATAACGAGAGGGTCATTGTGGGTAGTCCAGGCGCGACTGAGCGGAACGCGACAGAATGGTGGGCTATGGAGGAGAGTAATGGATCATTTTATATGGAAGGTAAAAAAAACGTGTCGGTTCATTTTAGAACTGAGGGCACCAATAGTTAAATTCCTATTCCGTCCGCTGACGGTGGTGTACCAGCCCTATTGTGCAGCAGGGGCTTGCGCAGTCAGCGTGACTGTCCATGGTACTCAATGCGCAAGCCTGAGCAGTCATTCCAGTGGTACATGCCAGGGATACCCTGTTCGTCGGAAGCTTTATGATTTGTGCCACCTTTAGACGAAAAGACCATCTACACCAGTGGCAGCTGTGCTCGAGTGAACTAGGAAGAGTCAATGACAGTCAATGGGCTGTGCAGCTTGTACAATTGGTTGCTCCGACTTAGTGCTCAATGTAGACGTAGTTCCTTCTAATAAGTTCTGTCCATTCGCCCAAAGGGATAACTGCTTCTCCGAAAGGCACATAGCCCACTGGAATGTCTCGGATGATCGACTCCCTCGCAGGAATGTAGAGAATGTCATGGCTCTTATGGCACACTGAGAATGGAAGGGTGCCATCGCAAATTTTTTGGTAGCATTCCATGTCAATCTGGAAGTCAATGCAATCCCTACACCAGAGCATGTCTCCCAAATACGACCAGGAATTCCCACAGTTTCCATCACAGTAGATGATAGCTGTGTCGGAAGTGTTTAGTGACATCATGGCTAAACTTGTTAGCATGTTTCTAGTATCCTCCAAGGGTAGGAACACAGTCAATAAACTAGAATACGCGTATTTGTCATTGTCTTCGTCGTCGTCGGACAGGATTTCTAGAGCCTGTTTCACGATCTCTCGAGTGATTTGCTTAGCTCGTAGCACATCTCCCTGAGTCTGGTAGTACCGCGCAAGATAAAGCTTTGGTGGGAGTGCGTCGCTCCTAGATGCTCCGTCGGGAACCAAGTCCTCTAACTTCTGGAGGTATGAAGAAGTAGCCTCGGTGTCGTCCCCTGACGTCTGTGCCTTACGGAGATAGAGAGGACCGAGTTTGCTAATCAGCAATGGCAAAATGGTATTCAGATGGGACTGTGGAACGTCGGCCAAGATCTTCTCCCACTCGGCAATCGCCTTTGATTCACGATCTCGCAATGAGTATATTGCTGTGGCATAGTAATACCGAATATAACATAATGTGGCACGGTCCTGACGATCTTCAAGGAGATTGATTGCAGATTCGTATGTCTCCGCCAAGAGATCGAAGTGCTTTGTCCGTAGTGCTGCTTGCAGGAAAATCTGGTGGAACCGATCAGCGTTCCAGAGCTCGATGACCATCTCCGGCAATCCCTGTGAGACGTGTGCCGAGTTCTTAACTCCTTTCAGAGATACTATAATCTCTGGCCACCTGCTCTCGGTAGCGAGAGCACTCAGAACCATTGTCACCCGGTCATAGTTTGTCGGGTCGAGTTCCATTGCCATTTTGCAGTATATAATAGCTGTGCTTGGGCAATTGTCTTCCCAGTAAAGTAGCCCAAACATGTATAGGAGCTTAGCAAACTCGACGCGCTGAACAGGATCTTGTCGCCATTGGCTGTCGGATGCAAGACGCTCCTCAATAGGAGCATTTAGAATCTCAATACCCTCCTTCGTCCCTACCAACTTTGCTAACAGGTAGGACGCTCGCCAGTCTTGCGGATCAAGCATCAAGGCTTGACGAGCCCTGGTCTCTGCGAGCCTGGGAAGCCCGAGCACCTCCAACAGGTTGCCCATTTGAACGTGCCACAACGAAGGCTTTGTCTTGACGTCCAGAATGGTTTGACACCAATTTTCAACATTGTCTATCTCTTCAATCGAATAAATATAGCTAGGGTCATTCACTTCGTGGGTAGCATTGCCTTGGCGACGCGCAATCTATACCTTGGTTAGTATTTCGATCTTCTGCGAGGAGCGCTACGTACCTTGTTCACGAAGCCGGCAATGAAGAGGAATGCGTCCTTTGTGAATGATTCTGAATGAGCCTCTTGCAAGAAATGTACTGCCATTCTTTTTGCGGCAGGTCTCATTAGGTCTTCATCAGGCTCTGCCCCAGACGTCACCTTTGCGACCCAAGCCCGTGTCGCCGTGTCGGAAATTTCGGAGGTAACAGCAGAGTCCCCAAGCCATCGGAGGATGGTGTTAACACTGTCATCACTGTAAAGCCAATAGCGTCGTATCTTGAACCGAAGAGTAGGATTATCAACAGACTCCGCACAATGCAGTAAGATATCGATTGAACTGTCCTCGGTAAACAGTTTCGCCAAGCGTATACCCACTGCGCGCTTGCAAGCAACGTCTGCTAACGCTAGATCAACAGCTGACAAATGGCTTATGAGGTATTTCCGTGCATAGGTAAGGAGTCGCGTGCGTTTTCGATCAGTCTCCTCTGTCAAAACATCTAAACACGTCAAGGCCATCTTTGTCTCACCCGTATGCGGATCATCCTTGTTGATACCACTGCCCTTGGGCCTCAGCAGTTGCACGAGGTAGGCGTCAAACTTCAACTTGGTGTAAACCTCCGAGGGACAGACCGTGAGGAGGAAGTGTTTGACCATGGCCACTTCTGCTGCTTGTGCTGCCTCCTTGCCATGCAAATCATTCAAGTCATGGGTAGCGTTTCTCAGCGGAATGTAATGCTCAATCTCAGAGGATCGGAAATCAACCTTTCCGTTCCTATCCACTTCGAATAGTGGGTATTTTATCTTGATCTTTTGCTCGAGAGGCAGCAACGACGTCTCTCCGCTTCTTACATACAGAACTGCAGACATCTGTTTTGGCGTGAGAAGGTCCTTGCCATAAACGATCCAGCGCACAATCTCATTGATTTCCAATAGCTCTTTTTTGGAGCGGCTTTCGTTCATCTTTTCGATTTCCTCGGTGATCTGCTGCGAGCGTTCCTTGCTTGCATCGTCCAGAGCCTGCTGTATGTCCGTTTTATACTCCAGGGAGCTAATATGGTCGAGGGTCCGATCTATCTTGAAGTAGTCACCATTTGTTTCTGTACATAGTCTGTGCCGAATATTGTCCCTGATCTCCGATATTCCCAAGCGACCGCGATCGGTCAATGCTGGCATCCTATCCATCCGGTTCTCTATAAACTTCTCAACATCCGATCGGTTATGTGTACTGATAGATATGCAATCAAAATGAACATCCCCAGCTTTGCTTAAATGCTCAAAGCATCTGGGGTCACCGGTTACCAGAACGCGAATGTCGCGACCAGGCATGGGTATGGAGGCTCTCTGTAAGAACCTGACCATGCCTTCTCCAACTGTGTCACCCAGCCCATCAATGACAATATAAAAGGTGATGTTCATGTTGGCTAGATCCTTATTACCGAAGATCAGATGCTTTGAGATGTCGGTCGGGTCGATCTCTCCATAACGTTCACAGATTTGGGCGACAGACTTGAGATAGATTCTCTCAGACTGACTGAACTGCCAAACGAGTGACTTTGCGACCGTCTCTAGGTTCGTTGCATTTTTAAGCTCATCCCGAGAATTCCCTTCCAGAAAATAATAGCCGGTTGAAATCCTACGGTCGGAGCTCTCTGTAGTTTTCCTTTGATTGAGACGCTTGATGATAGTGGACGTGAGGAAGCTCTTTCCAGTCCCTTCACCACCAGCGATAGCCAGGATCGGCCCCCTGGATTGTCCCTTCTCCCATTCAAGGTATTTGCGTTCACTGAAAATCCATTCACCGGTACCCCATACCCGTTGCTTAAGGTAGTTGCGATAGATTGTTTGCCAGAAAGCCTCTGGCTCGCTGCTTTCCTGGTTCATCTTGGTCTCATCAAACGCCAGCGCCTTCAGGACGACCTGCTCCCTGTACTGTTTATGCTTTTCCTTCTTCTGCTCAGCTCTGTCCTCCGCAAATGATTCCACAAGACCCTGCATGAGAGCGAGATTCGCCTTCGAGCTGGTTGCAGCATCTGAGGCCAGCGCAAATGTCTGCGCAACGACCAGACGGTTCTCTTTATCGACGAGGCCCTCCATCCTGGCGAGCAGATCCGTGACCCCATTATCCTGCAGGAACAATATCTTGACCCCGGCAAGCAGCTTTCTTCTCCTTGAGCGGAGCTTAACTGTTCGATCGCAGATTTCCACGAAGAGGAGCAAGTGCTGGCATGCAACTTTACTCAACTTCGCATCCATCCCCGCGTGGACATGGTACTCCAAACGGCCTAGATATTCGGCACATTTCTCTAGAAGTCCAGCCAATCTTCGAAAATGCCTTGATAGCCCTGCCATGCTTGGATCACAAAATTGAGCGCATTGAAGCACAGCTCCGAGGGTCCAAAAGCCTTGCCGACCGTTAGCTCGTCTTGGGCTTGGCCACTCGAGAAAGTCATACCTGTGACGCAGCACCAGCTGCTATACCACCTGCTGTTTGAATGAACAGTAAGGCTTTATTGAATGAGTCTTTGATAGCCTGGAGCTTCCAAGACGACACTTTGTCATTCCTCTGCGCCGCGTCCAGATGCGATAACACGTCGTTCACCCCAAGCGGCCTGATCTTGCGCTGGTCCCCATCGGCTAGCGCCAACACCCGACTCTGAACACGCGTCCATATCTCTGTCAGCTCCTTGTTGGTCGCGGCGTCGAGTCCTTGCGGTATAAACCGTGATGCGTTCGTGAACACTGTTGTCACCATGTTTTACTTTACCAAATTTTCAAGCTGCAAGTGTTGGGCTCCCAGAGGTGATGCGGGGAATGTCGCAGGATCAACTAGTCGCGTACTCCTTTCATCTTTTTATGCGTGACGCCCTGTGGGATGAGGCTTAGACGTGCAGGTACTGACGTGTGAGAGCCTCGCTAACTGGGTTTAATTGCTCGGCACCTGCAGATCGATCAGCTAAGTGGCGCCTGGGCAGTCGCCGAGGTTAGTTATTGGTGAAGATAATGTGGCCAAGATGCAAGCGGCAGCCGTATGGCGATTGTTCAAATTATACAAAGGCGTCCAGCAGGGCTGATGTAGATGTCGATCAACAAGATATATAAGGATATTTAAAGACGAAAGGGTATATTTGATTTGGGGTGATGGTATATAGTGGCGTTCTATACAAAGACAAAGCCCAATTTCCAGTGTAGTCTTTATGAGTGTGATGCTCTAAGGCCAGCTCGCGAAATATCTCGTTCCTAGTGTGTGGAGGGTGAAGATGTAAGATGCTTTTCAGGCTGCATAACGTTTATATAGAGAACCGTACATGCTGTAGTATAGATCAGGTGATTTGTACCTATTAAACTATGTTGAACTAAATGGTTGATCGGCTTCTTGCTGGCGATGGTGTGCCTTCACCATAGTACTCTCAACACAAATGGGTAGAACACATGCTCGGGGTAGTACGGAGAATATCCTTCAGATTCTCTCCCCAGTCATTCAGTCATTTTCACACATGCAGAGCCTTTGCGAATCACCAGTACTCGGATAGTATCCACTCATCTCCCAGTCAATGGTTCCATCATGATGAATAACGAAAGGAATCACAGCATTGTATGTCAAAGGGGATTAGCAATGCTTAATACTGACAGGAGATGTGAGTAAGATGTCTTCAGTTGGGTTGTATTCATGGTAGAAGAGTTCCATTTGCTGGTTCGTTTGGCTAGCATCAACGTATCAATGGTCCGGGCACGATCATTTCATCAGGGTGGGATTTCTACTTCTATGAGACAGCGAAAGATTCACCGACAGGCGTTTGAAACCACCCGTAGTCGTGACCATGCTTCTTCAACATGCTCTGGTACCTCCACATGAGGGATGAACCCCTTTCCTCTTGGCCCATATCCACTTTCATCATCCCTCAGTCTAGGGATTTCCCCCATTACCAACTCTAAAAATCGACCCAGTGGCCACCATGTGTTTCCCAGTGGTAACTCTTGATATTTCAGCTCCCCACCTTCCGATCTCTCCATATGCGGGACAATTATTGGACAGCTCATGAAAGATGGAGGCGACAGCCTGTCTCCGTACGCCTTTTGGAATGAGGCTTTTGTTCGCAGCATCATCGTGGGATCTTGAATGATCATACACGTCTGGAGCGCTTGGAAGCCAGCTGCATCGAGCACTTTCCGACTCAGCGAGGCGTTTAAGCCACAGTTTGTGGATTGATCTTCGACCAAGATCATACAACCTCCATCCGTGATGGCGGATCGGTCAAAGAACGTGTCCAGAATCCTCTCCAAGACACGAGCTTCGGGTAAGCCGTGGATTTCTTGTGCGATCTGCGAGAAGCGAGGGTGTTGTGCGACAGCCTCATACAGGAAATGGGTAGAGTGGCCCACGCCACCACATAGGACCAAACATTTGCTCAACGACGGCCGCTCTTGTAGTACCTGAAACAAATATTCGGCTTGATAGAGTATTGCCGATGCGCAGATAACGATACCGTCCACCGGGGGACATGACGATAGGTCTTGGACCTGTTGATCCCCGAGATATTCGGCCACGACATTGATATCTTGGGCCGTTGCTTCGGAAGACATTCTTTTTGTTATGTAACCAGTGACTTTTTTTCTCTATCTGGTTCGCTATTTTGTTTCTCGGTTTTTCTCTCTTATCAGTTTGTCAATTCCATGCTCGGAGACCTGAAATGATTTTGCCGCATTATATTCATCGCGATAAATTATATTCCGGTGGGGTTGGTTTCCATTTATAGCCGCTGCGTTTGCACTCCACCGGCACGGATTACTCGTTCGGGTAGTCACGCGTCGCGCAGGTGATTCGCTGTGCCCCATTTTTTTTTTCATCCATTACCAAGTTGCTACTGCCCTCATTCGATTAAGAGAGTGGTTAAATCACTCTTATATGTGTTATGCTTGATTTCTGGTTTCAGAGTGACCTTTGCTGCCATATAGTGACGTTTTTGGTAACCATCTGTTGAAATATATTTAAGAACCTGCCTAGCTGTCAAATATTTCCAAATTTTGTTTCACGACCTTGATACTCATGACTTAAGCAAAGCCTGTTCAGAAATAGTAGCGATAGACAAATGAGTTACTTTTGTCAAATAGATTTTAACTAAGGGTTGACAGGTCCGTTCTGATCATATTCGTACCGTGTCTCTTGATCCTATTCAAACGTTAGTAATGAGCATGATCAACAATCCATGTCCAAACATACCCAGTATCGATTAAATCCAACTCCCTCGCAGACTTCCGAGTATCCCAGAATCATAGGCGGTGCCGTACCCTCAAACATGCTCTGTTTCAATCCTTCCAGCGCATCCCGAATACTCTTCAACCTCGCCGCGACCAATGTCCACGGGTATGCCACGGCCGCGAAACCCATTTGAGCCAGGTCCTTCGCAGAGAGATTCTCTGTTTTGCCCCCTTCGATAATATTAGCCAGCATGGGCATATCCAATTCCGCAACACAGCGCTGCATCGCCTCCCTATCCGGCAAGGCTTCCACAAAGACCGCATCGGCCCCTAGTCTCTTGAACTCCTTTGCCCGCGTCATCGCCTCCTCCCATCCAAGGATCAAGGCATCCGTCCTGGCCAGAATGAAAATATCCCGTCCTTCATTCCGGGCGTCGCAGGCTGCTTGGATCCGAGCGTAGGCTTCTCCGCGCGAAACAACCGATTTCCCCTTCGTATGACCGCATCCTATGCACGATTCCTAGACTCAGTATCCGCTTTGTATAGCACTTTGGCAGAGAAGTTAGGGTAGATAGCTAGACTCACGCTTCGGCCACGTCTGGTCCTCAATCATCACCCCCGCCGCCCCAGCAGCAGCAAACGCCTCCACCGTCCGCCGCACATTCATCGGACTCCCATACCCCGTGTCCCCATCGACCATCACAGGAAGACTAGTCACCCTCACCGTCTCCTGGACCTTCCCGCACATCTCCTCCAGAGCGATATACCCCGTATCAGGCAGCCCGTATGAACTCGACACGGCGAAGCCGGATAAGAACAACATCGGGAAGCCCGCCTCCTCGACAAGCCGCGACGACAGCCCGTCGTAGCTACACGGGAAGGCCAGGATCTTGGAGGGATCGTCACGCGCCAATAGCATCATTGTGCGAAGACGCGATGTTTGGAGGGAGGGGATAGTGCCGCGGACATTGGGGATGGTGAGGGGTAGAGCTCGGGTTGTCCCGTTTGTAGACTGGGTTGGGGTTGGGTTGGTGAATGTGAAGGGGTAGGGGGTGTTTGTTTGAGACATTATGGGTTTGGCACTTGGTTTAGAGTGTTGTTTTGCTCTGTTATGGTAGCTGGCTGATGTTGTTTATTCTATGGATGAGGGGTTGAGGGGTTGTGGCGTCATTGCCTTTGTTGTTTTCTTGCCAAGAGATTGGCCCTAATGCATCTCATGCATTAGATTGGTCAATTAAGTCTATGATCTGCATTATTACACTTGCAGGGAATTCTGCTATCGGCATGCATTCAAGAGGGTTTTCTTAGGGTTGTTTTGTCGCCTGTTAGGGAAGATTAGTGTGGTTTGTTTCGATCACGGGAATGAGCCTAGAATATATGATTTGGTTATACAGCCACATTTTTATCGAAAGAGGCCGTCCATATGAGAGCATATGGTTTTAATGCTATAATTATCGCCTGTAAATATATGTGCCTGGGTTGTCTGGTTGTTCACCGGTTAATGCTGGTAGGGAAAAACGCGTTAAGAGTAGCATTGAAGATGATTATGTGTTTATGCCAGCTCAAGATCCATGTGTGGTGCATAAGATCAGCCAAATATCTGGTTAATAGCTGTATCCAGTGGTGCTGTCCAGCAATTATACCGAAGATAGCCCTGTAGAATACATAATGTGCCGCAGAAGGCTTCTGTTTGGAAGAGAATCGTATACCAAAGAGGAAATACTATAGAATGACCAGAACTAGCCAAAGACACATTACACTCACCCGATTATCTCCGGATGGCGACACAAAAGCCGAGTGGAGCCGGTGTTTTCTAAGTATTCTATGTTGCCTCCACCATGATGGAGGAAACGAGAATCTTACCGGTGGCAAGTAAAGCAGGAACTGTTCGGATCAATGCCACATATCCATTGGCACCACGCCACAAAGTCGCGCAGATTATCGGTGACATTTACCTTTCGATGCGCGATTAATGACGATTACTCCGAAATGGATGCATGTACATGTCCCAGAGAGGAGTTGGACGAAGTCCGACGTTGGATAGAATTCAATGTGAACGTTTCTTCACTGGAAGCTGATAGTCGAATCGACGAAGACACTGGTGCTTCATTATGATAAAGACATCTGTTTACAATGGAGTTTGGACTTTTGTGGCGACCTGTATGATTTCCACGATAACATACCTCCCAAAATGAGGCAAGTAGGGAATTAATCCGAGTTTTGAGCGTCAGGTAGATATCGAGAGGTCCGTCCTCCATCAGAGTAATACCTCGTGGATAACTACCATAAACAGCTTTGATAATACTTGAGGCACATTGACCTCAGCACTACTCGCTGGTATGGATACTTTGACCTTCAGAGATTGCTGAAAACGTGATGTCATGAAGTCGCGCGAATACGCGGCGCCGGAGGCTAAGGGAACCCAGGCGGGTCGTTAGAACGTGGCGGCTATGGCAGACTACTAACTACCCACTAGTAGGATCCGCTCTGCCTGGCTAGAACGTCTGAAGACTTTGATTTTGACTAACTCTACGTTCGCACTGTGGGCAGGGGTCT